ACGCAAGTCCCTTTGCCCCTGTCAACCCTCCCCTTGTCCCTTCACATCCCTGTCGTTCTTTCCCCCGGGCCCCCAGAACATGGACCGCGCCTTACGAAATGACCTTGAGCAGCCCATCGTATCGAGAAGATGGCGCCTGGGCACACTCGGCTACGGGGCAATGAACACCCATCACTGGATCGAGGTGCACGGGCTGGTCTCCATCCATCAGTACCCGCTTCAAGGGGGGGGAGGGGGGGAAGGGCCATGCGCGTGCCGTCCGGCGGTCGCTATGCTCGGTGGTGCAGGTGAGGCGAGGGTGGTGCCTCCGTTGAGGGATGAGAGAGCGCGCATCTTCTGATAAAACCGCCGTCTCCTTGCTCAGTCGACTGGCATTTTCTCCCCCTTCTGCCTCACCTACATCTCTCATCACCCTACAACACCCCCTCTTCCTCCTCTTGTTTCTTCCTAGCACACAACTGCATCACTCGTTAATAGGCAGTCTTTGAACCTTCGTCAACCTTCGCTCAGTACTCTACCAGCCAATAATTCCTTCCCCAAACAACCCCATCATCAACAATATTCAAGATGGTTTCCAAGCTCTTCGCCGTGGCCCTGGCCGCCTCTTCCCTCGTCTCCGCTCAGACCTTCACCGACTGCGACCCCACCAAGAAGTGTAAGTGCCGTCTTCAACACGCCCATGCGCCGGGCTGTCACGACAATGCTAACATGATCCCCCAGCCTGTGACCCCGACCCTGCCTTTGGCAAGACGGTCGACATCGACTTCACCAAGTCCAACGGCGAGGACTACCTCTACACCCTCCCCGGCACCAAGGTCACCTACGACAAGGAGAAGGGCGCCGTCTTCTCCATCCAGAAGGAGACCGAGGCTCCCACCAAGGCCTCGCACAAGTTCATCTTCTTCGGCGAGCTCGAGTGCAACGTCCAGGCCGCCAACATGCAGGGCATTGTCACCTCGATCGTCCTGCAGTCCAAGGACCTTGACGAGATTGACTGGGAGTGGACCGGTGGCGACAACGCCAACGTCCAGACCAACTACTTCTCGAAGGGTGACACGACCACCTACGACCGTGGTGGCAAGCACGCCGTTGCCAACCCCCTCAACCAGTTCCACAAGTACGGCATCGTCTGGAACCAGAACAAGATTGACTGGATCATCGACGGCACTGTCGTCCGCACCCTGAACGCCGCCGACGTGGGCGACAAGTACCCCCAGACCCCCATGCAGATCAAGATCGGAACCTGGCCTGCCGGCAACAAGAACACCCCCAAGGGCACCGTCGAGTGGGCCGGTGGCTACTCGGACTACGAGAAGGCTCCCTTCATCGGCTACTACCAGAACTGCAAGATTGTCGACTACGCCGGTGGCAACGACGCCGCCAGCGGCACCCCCAACGCCAAGGAGTACGTCTACGGCGACAAGTCTGGCAAGTGGCAGTCCATCAAGATCGTGACCGGTGACGGCAGTGACGACGATGAGAAGGACGAGACCACCACCTCTGCTCCTGCCACCAAGACCACCGCCGCCCCCAAGACCAAGACGGAGGAGGCCAGCGAGACGGAGACGGAGACGGAGACCGACGACGACGACAAGACCACCAGCACCGCCGCCGCCGCCTCCACCATCCTGAGCTCCGTTGTCGTTTCTTCCACTGGCGCCGCCGAGTTCCACCGGCGCTTCTGCCACCACTTCTGGCGCCGACTCTGACTCTGCTGCCGCCTCCACCAGCGCCGGCGCCGCCTCGACGGTTCCCACCGCTGAGCCCGCCGGCGGCATGGATGAACCGC